CAGCTTACAAATTAGACTTGGGCTATAAGAAAACATCCACATCAATTATAAAAGAAGTGTTCATGAATACAAAATATTTTTAAATACCCAAAAGCCTAAGGCAATTTGAATTGAGGAGAGATGCAATTTAAATACAAACCTCATACTGACCAACTTAAAAGACACATAAATTATTTGTAATGTCTATCTGAGCTATTTAATCATATATTTTCAGCATCTCAGTAACACATTTTTTTTTTCAGTCACGTGGACCTTTTTTTTCCTTCTTAATCTCAACCATATTATCTATCTGGCTTTGCAAGGAAGATCAATAAGGAGAAGCTCTAACAATTTCCACTGGTTTTCCGTAATCCAAACTGAGACGATCCAGGCTTAAACAAGATGTAGGGGGTCTGCGGATAGAGGAAGTCTGATTCCTTGCTGTATCTATAGAGGAGGTCTACACTTACGAATTCCAACTTTTTAGGTGGATAATTTGAGATGAAGGTTTGTTCTTTGAACATTTTTAATCATTCTATCCTGCCTCCCAAGGCTTCCAAGAGACATTTTACTGAAATAGAAGTAAAATGCTAAATACTTTACTCATCTTTTCTTCTAATTCTGTGTTTTGACCTTTTTTAAATTTTCATCTCACATTCTATTATAAATAACCTGAGGACAGGAACATCGTCTGTGCAGTTCTCTCTAATCAGCATCTATTCCAGCACCCTACGCAATGAAACACTCACAAAATATTTCCTAGTGATTGAATTGGACAGTAAACTACTGAAATGAAACTCAAAAGTTGGGACCTTTTTTAAACATACTTTATGCAATGTCTGATGTGAAGGAAAAATCACAAAATATGAGAATTAAAAGAGGCCTTGAAACTATTTTGTTATTATCAATAATTTATTTTTTTAACCCTGTGAACTTCCTCCATCCGAATTTCTACCACTACCACATAACAGAAAATAGTTCCAAACTTTCTATGAGGAGTCCCTGGCACTGTAGAAGGGGAAGAAAAGAGAATATAAATACAACTTTATAGTATACATCACAATACACTTGCAGAGAAGATCCACTTCTCAATAACTTAATGAAATTTTGGAATCACTTAGGGCTACAACTTTGTTAGATATTAGTATTCAATACAATTTAAGTAAAACAATTAAATAAGAGCAGGCAATTTGGGTCACAAACAGTTAAGAAGGCAAAACCAGGTTTCGATTAACTGTAAATTTTGTACAGTGAAACACTGGTAAGTTAGTTCTTGATTCTAAAAAAAAAATAAGTTTAAATTTATTTTTGAAAAACAGGCCTCATGTTCATCTGCTCTCCAGGATTGATAAAAGATGCAAGTTCCCACCCTATCTTTGGTAGGTGCGTGTACACAGATCTGATAAGGAACTACACAAAGGGAAATGTTAAAAGTTGATCATTCTTAGCAACATAAGAAAACCATTAAAGATAAATATTTCCACAGATACTTACAAGGTGAAATTTTTGTGTTCTAGCTTTTATCATTAACAAACTTTCTCATCGCCCCTAAGAATCTGAATACAAATATTTCTAATTCTTCCTATAGGTCTACATAAATTCCCTCCAACTTAACTTTTCTCCTTTCCTGAAATCAAATGTACATCTGTTTTACACAGGAGCAGCATAATGCTAGGCAATTAATAAGTGTGTTGGTGTTCATGCAACAGAGATTTATTGCAACTATATGCAAACATTGTACTATGTCCTGGAGTACTACAGATTGAGCAAAATTATATAAACAGAATAGCCAGTATTCTTGATTTGAAATTTAAATATCAATACAAATAAAATGAAATAGTAAAGAGGTGAAGGGAGAAATGGGAGGGGATGTGGATGGGATGGGATGGGGAGGGGAGGGAAAGGGAGGGGAGGGAATGGGGTAAACTGATAGAATAAAAGACAATGGGTAGATTATTATCTTACTCTTGGCCCCACCTCACTCTTACATGATTATCATGCTGTGGTTCTACATTTTTCTAAATTACTATAAAAGTCTTAAAGACACAGCCTGCTCTATGTTTCTTCACATCTTTAGCACTGCCCAAATGGAGAATATAACTCTGAGAAAATAAATACTAATAAGTGATATGGCTTGGCTGTGCCCCCACCCAAATCTCATCTTGAATTCCCACGTGTCGTGGAAGGGACACAGTGGGAAGCAACTGAATCAGGGGAGCAAGTCTTCCCCGTGATGTTCTCATGAGAGTAAATTTCATGAGATCTGACGGTTTTAAAAAGAGGAATTCCCCTGCACAAGCTCTCTCTCTTTGCCTGCTGCCATCCATGTAAGACATGACTTGCTCCTCCTTGCCTTCTGCCATGATTGTGAGGCTTCACCAGCCACATGGAACTAAGTCCAGTTAAACCCCTTTCTTTTGTAAATTGCCCAGTCTCAGGTATGTCTTTATCGGCAGCATGAAAAACGGACTAAGACAGTCAATCGGTACCAGTAGAGTGGGGTGTTGCTGAAAAGACACCTGAAAATGTGGAAGCAACTTTGGAACTGGATTACAAGTAGAGGTTAGAACAGTTTGGAGGGCTCATAGGAAGACAGGAAAATGTGGGACAGTTTGGAACTTCTAAAAACTTGTTGAATGGCTTTGACTAAAAGCCTGAAAGCAACATAGACAATAAGGTCTAGGTTGAGGTGGTCTCAGATGGAGATGAGGAACTTGTTGGGAACTGGAGCAAAGGTGATTCTTGTTACGTTTTAGCAAAGAGACTAGCAGCATTTTGCTCCTGCCCTAGAGATTTGCAGAACTTTGAACTTGAGAGAGATGATTTAGGGTATCTGGCAGAAGAAATTTCTAAGCAGCAAAGCATTTAAGATGTGACTTCAGTGCTGTTAAAGGCATTCAGTTTAAAAGGGAAGCAGAGCATAAAAAGTTTGGAAAATTTGCAGCTTGACAATGTGATAGAAGAGAAAAACCCATTTTTTGAGGAGAAATTCAAACCAGCTACAGAAATTTGCATAAATAACGAGGAGCTGAATGTTAATCCCCAAGACAATGGGAAAGGTGTCTCCAGGGCATGTCAGAGGTCTTCACAGCAGTCCCTCCCATCACAGGCCAGAAGGCCTAGGAGATAATGGTTACCTGGGCTGGGCCCAGGGTCCCCATGCCATGTGCAGCCTAGGGACTTGGTGCCTTGCGTCCCAGGCACTCCGATGGTGACTAATAGGGGCCAAGGTACAACTCAGACTGTTTCTTCAGAGGGTACAAGCCCCAAGCCCGGGCAGCTTCCATGTGGTGTTGAGCCTGTGGGTGCCTACAAGTCAAGAATTGAGGTTTGGGAACCTCCACCTAGATTTCAGAAGATGTATGGAAATGTCTGGACACCCAGGCAATAGTTTGCTGCAGGGGTGGGGCCCTCACGGAGAACCTCTGCTAAGGCAGTGTGGAAGTGAAATGTGGGGTCAGAGGCCCCATACAGTGTCCCTACTGAGGCATCGCCTAGTGGAGCTGTGAAAAGAGGACCATCATCCTCCAGACCCCAGAATAGTGCATCCACTAACAGCTTGTGGCGTGCGCCTGGAAAAACCGTAGACACTCAACGCCAGCCCATGAAAACAGTCAAGAAGAGGCTATACCCTGCAAAGCCACAGGGGCGGAGCTGCCTAAGACCTTGGGAACCTACCTCTTGCATGAACATAACCTGGATGTGAGACATGGAGTGAAAAGAAATCATTTTGGAGCTTTAAGATTTGACTGTCCCGCTGGATTTCAGACTTGCACAGGGCCTGTAGGAACTTTGTTTTGGCCAATCTCTCCCATTTGGAATGGCTACCCAACGACTGTACCTACGTTGCATCCAGGAAGTAACTAACTTGCTTTTGATTTTACAGGCTTATAGGTGGAAGGGACTTGCCTTGTATCAGATGTGGACTTTTGAGTGAATGCTGACATGAGTTAAGACTTTGAGGGACTGTTGAAAAGGCACGATTGATTTTGAAATGTGAGGACATGAGATTTGGGAGGACAGGGGAGGAATGATATGGTTTGGCTGTGTCCTCACCCAAATCTCATCTTTAATTCTCACGTATTGTGGGAGGGACCCAGTGGGAGGTAATTGAATCACAGGGGCAAGTCTTTCCTGTGCTGTTCTCGTGATAGTGAAAAAGTTTCACGAGATGTGATGGTTTTAAAAAGAGGAATTCCGCTGCACAAGCTCTCTCTCTTTGCCTGCCGCCGTCCATGTAAGACGACTTGCTCTTCCTTGCCTTCTGCCATGATTGTAAAGCTTCCCCCGCCACGTGGAAGTGTAAGTCCAATTAAACCTATTTCTTTTGTGAAGGTATGTCTTTATTAGCAGCATGAAAACGGACTAATACAATATGTCATACAAGAGAAATAGAAAATGATAGCACTAAAAGCAATGCTATGAACATAGCCCCAAGCATTAAGGAATCAGGTTATTAACTGTTACCTGAAATAAACCACGTAAATATTGTCTTAAAGTTTTATTTCTTAAAATCCATCATTGTGCCTTTGAAGTAGGAACTTCGGAAGTTTTAGAAGTGACACTCCTATAGTATTTATAGCAAAAACTACATCTTTCAAGAGCAGTTTGGACTGGATTTCTACGTTTATCATAACATGGATACATTTAATTTTCTAAATACTGAATGTTTCTTCTCCAATCGTGTTCCTCATGGAGAAAGAGTCTCAGCAAAAAAACAAATGCTGAAGCAAGGCCCCAAGCTTCTAACTACTTTTACTAAGTGACAGGGGACACTGGCGCCTTATTAATCCCAAGGGGAAGGTCTGCCATGCAGGAACTAGCAGCCCTCAGAGTCTAAAACCTGGAACATATAACATCCAACTCGCATGCTCACACATACGCATTTGCACGTGGGCTGACTTACATCCAGGACACAGCCCCTGAGCTCTTCACAAATTGCAGAGAAGGCCAGGAAATCAGCTCCAAAGATGATGTGCCTCTGCCCTGCTTCAGAGGCCCCAACTCACATCCTAACCGCTATGAGAGGTTTCCATGATCAAATCCAGGAGCAGAAAGCAGAAGTGAGGCTCACAAATGGTTCATCCGGGCTTTTCCGTGGAGCCCGTTTCTGCCCGACCCCCCTGAGGAATGTAAACGATCTGTTCAGGACTGAACTGCTTTACCCTCGAGGATGTAAATTATTCATTACCCCCTCCTTCTTGCACATTTTTCCTTTCATTTTCTCCATCTACTCGCTGCTTTCTCTTTACCAATTTATCTCTAAGCTACCTCAATTGCCTTCTTCTCTGCTCCCCTCAGAAACTTAAAAACGAAACCAGATTCACAAGCCAAATAACTGGATTAGATTTCTCTTCAACATATTAGAGAGTCGAGAAAGCTGCTTTGTAATATGTTTGATATTCAGCCTTTTAGAAAGCAATTCCTTAAATTACTCTGTTTAAATCTTTGAACTACTTAACTTTCTTTGATAGCACGTTAATATTGCACTAAAACCTGTGCAATGTTATGAAGACTTTAATTTCTGTAGTCAGTGCTTCCACATGAACAGCAGGGGGCAGTAGGATACCAAGAATTGAAGAAATTGTCCCGGGCTCTGGGAAACACTGTTGAATTACTGCAGTGGGTCTGTGTACTCGTGATGATCTCAGCTCTCAGATGAAGTCTTTTGTTTTGTGTCCTATTTTACAATGCACCGTTCAGTTTTCTATATGAGTTGTGGCTTAGTCACAGTATTTCACTGTGACAGTTTAGCTTAAGAAAAAGAAAGGTGAAGGAAAAAAAAAGGAGGAAAAGAAAAAGAGAAGATGTAAATGCTTCCAAATAAAACACATCATGAAAAGGAAAAAGTAATCCTGTGTATACATATAAAGTTTGTCCCTTCTCTGTTCCCATCCTATACACAGTTTTTCCAGATTACAGACTGAATTCATCCCTATTCCTCCCCAAAACACACAAACACACGCACACATCTGCCATATAGTTTTCTGTCAAAACAGATTTCTTACAAAAAGAAAAACAACACAAAAAATACAAAAAACTCTTTTAAAATACTTGACTTTTTTTAAAAAATTCAAAAAATCTCTCATTTTCTGTCCTTTATCAAGCTTCTGAGTATAGAATTTTAGTTTTTCATGCTTTTTGAACATTAGTCAAAATACCTTTCATTAATGTGAATGTTGCAATAAGATTCTTCCTCTGTAAATGCACAGCTTCAGATAAATAGCCAAAAGCTATAGTTGTTATCTATATCTGATATGTTTGGAGGTGGAGTATGAAGTACAAACTGAAATATGAGAGACTTGAAGAATATTCAAGGATTGTTGCAATCGTACAGGTTGGGAAAGGTTCTTAGTAATCCAACCCTCAAAGTTAGCAAATATGAAACTTCTTTTATGCATAATTTGAGTTGTACCCAAAATATCATACCCGCAAGCCTAGTTTCCTCTCCTACCTCGACTGGAATTCCCAGGGTTATTTATGTGTTCTCATAGAGTCATTAATTTATTACTGTGGTATAGCAGATGTATTATTTCAACATCTGGTACCAAAATTCCTCTTGAAGGAGGGATTCTTTGCTCCCTACTGACAGGGCCCTATCTGATCCTCTGGCCTTATCTCCTACTATTTTCCTGCTTACCAGCTTTGATCACACCAGCTCCCTTGCTGTTCCTTAGAGCATACTAGGTACTCTATGCCTCGGGGCCTTGGGCCTAGCTGTCCTCTGTCAGGAACAATCTTACCTCATTTATCCAAATGATTCATTCCTTTGCCTATTTCAAGTGTTTGTGCAAAAATCACTTCCTCCATGAGGCCTTCCCTGACCACCTATTTAAAATAGAATATTCTCCCCAGCATTTTTTATGCACCCTTTCTCCTTTATTTTCCTTAATAGCACTTATCACCATCAAATACGCTACATATTACACAGGTAAATATAATACAGGAGATAACTGAGACCAAACATATCAGCCAACAGAGGGCTCAACTTCAGTGTTAAAACAAAAAGAAAAATAGGTTGATTTCAAAGGAAAACCCAACTCTATGCTGTATATAAAAGACAAAGACCCACCTAAAACAAAACAATTCAGAAATGCTAACAATGAAAGGAAGGATGGGTAAAGGTCTACTAAGAAAATGCAAATTAAAAAAAGAAAGAATTGAGATTTTGAAATTCAATAAAATAAAATTCAGACCAAAAACCATTATTGAGACAAAGAACATCTTATAATCCTAAAGGCTACAATTCACAGTGAAAATAAAAGATTTATGAAAAGGTATGCAGTGAGTAACACAGCAGCTACTTTCATACGTAGGAATTATAAGAGATTCAAAGAGAAATCGAAATACACTAATAATAGCAGACTGTAGTACATTTACCTTAGACAAAAAAATACAAAAACACTTATGAAAATTGACTCTAATTTACAATACAGACATGTATGCCTCAATAAATCACATAAATATAATATAAATATTCACCATAATATGATAAAACTAGAAAGTTATAATCAAAACATAAGAAAGCCCCATCTTGAAATTTAAAATTTTTCTATTAAACATAGCTTGCCGCAAAGGGAAGTATCAATTAATAATGAGAATTTCTAGAAAAAAATGAAAACATGGCATTAGAATTGACAAGATGCAGCTAAAGAGTGTTCAGAACAAAACTGATAAATAAATAATGAAATGTATGAATTAGATATTTCACTCAAAAAGAAAACGTTAGATATATTTAAGGTTCTTTTGGATTTTGGATTTAATTTTCTTTTTAACTGAGCAACCGAGTTTTTTATTTTATTTATTTATTTTTTTGGAGTCTCCCTCTGTCACCGAGGCTGCAGCACTGTGGCGCAACTGGCCAGTCTGCTCTTGAACTCCTGACCTTGAGTGATCCACCCGCCTCAGCCTCCCAAAGTGCTGGGATTACAGGGGTGAGCCACTGCACCCAGAAAGCAACCTAGACTTTAAAATATGAGATAAATAAGCCTAACTGTATTTAACTACATCTAACATTTTTACTAACAGTTGTAATACTGGTAGATTTTGGAAACTATTATATATATTATGGAGAAAAGTAAATTATTCTGTTAATATCATTTAGGAGCCATGATTTTCAGCATCGGGGAAGAGATGCAATATAAAATCAAGTAAGTAAAAACCCTATAATCTTCTATTAGAATTGGAATATCGACACAAAGTTATTATTTATTTTCATCTTTCTTTGAAAAACTACATCTCTCCTAGATCTTGTGTTGAAGAGTCTGGGAAGGGATAAGCCATTTAACCATGAACATCTTTAAGTGCAGGTTGTAGCATCCAAATACCTTTTTCACTAGAAGCAATCAGGACACCTTTGAGAAATGACTGATTCTACGTCTGAGGCAGTAAATGTACAATATGACACTGGAACTCTTACAGTGTCAGAAAGCAATCAAGACATTTGAGCTTGTGTCAAATAAAGGAGCCAAAAATGACCAAAGATGGTCAATTTGAAATTCAAAATGGATAATCACTGCAATTATATAAAAGTGTAAACAGAGATGCAGATACAATCAACATGAAACTCCTGGAAGCAACAGGAGATTCAATATGGTTGCAAGATACAAAATTAGACACAGAAATCAGTACCTTAATTTATGTAAGAACCTAGCCGTTATAAGGAAAAGTAGAAGAGATAATTCCAACAAAAAAAGAGAAATACTCTAAGAATAAATTTAACAAGTGAAAAACCTTTATGAAGCTTTCTTGAAAGACACAAAGCTGAAACTTGAGCAAGAGAAAAAATAAACCTTGCTTTTCAAAAGGAAGAAAAATGTCAAAAGGAAAATGCAACATCATAAATGGAAAAGATATGCAGAAGTTTTTTTTTTAGAAAGTATTTTTACGGAGCTATATTCTATAGTTTACATGAAAAAATAACCAAGCATATTAAAAAAAAAAACTTCAGAAAACAGCAATAACGCAGTCTAGCCCTACCAGATACTGAAATTTAGTCTCTAATAAAAACAGTATAATATTAGCCCATAAGCAGACAATAAGATCAACGTGGAAAAAAAAGAAAATATATCTTAGATCCAAATATAATGTGGAAATTTATGGATGTGATAAAAATATTTCAAATCGCTGGTCAGAGGGTGCTTTTTAAATTAAATGTTATGACAGTTAAAAAGTCATTTGAAAATAGATAAAATTCACGTAGGTAGAATTCCTGCATATATGTTCGTGTGTACATACATATTACTCGTGAATCGTATAATGAGGAACCAATCTGACATCTCCAAATTGAAGGATTTTCTGGAAGACCACTGGGCTAGACTTTTCAGAAATGTCAATACCAGGAGAAACAAACAAAAAAAGGCTAGGGAACTGTTTTATATTGAAGGAAGCGAAAGAGACTTGACAACTGCAATATGTGATTCTTACTGATGCACTATGTGATTCTTGTTAAATCTCGGATTTACATTTTACAAACTATAGGGTAAAGAAGGACATTTTGGGACAACTGAGGAAATTCAAATATGAAATATATCCGATTATTGTAATCTAACATTTACATTTCCTAAGTATAATGATGCGCATTGTGATCCTGTCGTCCTCAATTGAGGCAATTTTGCACCTCTCCTTTTTCCCCCAACCCTCACCACCACCCCTCCCCTCTCCACCCCCCAACCACACCTTTTGGGTTTGGCAGTGTCTGGAGGCATCGTTGGTTGTCACAATTGGGGGAGGGGTTTGCCACTGGCACCTAAGGGGTAGAGGCCAGGGATGCTGCTAAATAGTGATTGTTTAGCTCAGGACACCCCCATCCCACCCCGTCACCCCCACCTTACGGGCACAGACAGCAAAAACTCATCCTGCCCAAAATGTCAATAGCGCGGGGTTGAGAATGTAGAACAATCCCTTTTTCTGAGGGGATACATACTGAGATATTAGGCTGAATCACATGACATTGTCTCTTGCGTAGGTCAAGTATCGGCAATATTTAAGGACGAAGGGTTATGACGTTCACAACAAACTCTCAAAATAATGAACGAGCCCTTCCGCCCCAGCTGCCCCGCGACCTAGGGGACCCGAGAAGGGCGCACTAGCCCGGGGCGCGGAGGCCAACGCCGAGCCTGCGCGGTGGGAGGCGCTGGGAGCTCACTGCGCACGCGCCGGTCGGCCGGCCGCACCCACGCGGCTCAGCTCGCAAAGTTGCAGACAGCCGGGCGAACCGCTCAATGCGCTGCTTCTGCCCGCCGCAGAGAAAGAGAAAGAAAACTCCGCAGGGGCTCCGTTGGCGTCTCGACGAGTGACAAAGATGCTTTCCCAGATAGAAGACCGGAGCCCTGCTCCTTTGCGATCCGCCGAGGGCTGCAGAGAGCATCCTCATCCATTTGGTCACCCCTGTCCAGGAAGAGCCTGGCCATCCCTTTCCAGACTGGATCTTTCAGAGGTGAATTTTCTTCGGTGGATTCCGATTTGCTCCGTCTGACCAGCCTAGGCAATCCAGCATCGCGTGGTACCAGTGCCCCTGGGCACACTTGCTTCACGCCGGCGCCGGCTCCGCCTCGCCAGCAAGCGCATTCCCAGGTAAACATTTTAAATACCTTAGAATTCTGCCTAGAGTCTCTAATCGAGAAGTTTACCCACTTTTTCTGTAAAGAGCCAGAAAGCAAATATTCTAGAATTTGGGCCTGGAACTGGCACTGTAGCGTATTCGTCTTTGTTTTGACAATGTAAAAACCACTCTGAGCTGCTGGCCTTACAAAAATAGAATCATGAGGACTGTGATGATTAAAGCCTAATCACTAATGCACCCAGCACAGAGGCTAGAGCGCCAGTGAGTCCTCCACCGCTTCCTAGGCCCGACCATAGTTTTGCAGTTAGGATCCAGGTTTTATGAGGACTGGGACCCACCCAGGTTTAGTTCAGTCTCTTGAATCCCTCCCTGCACCTGCACCTCAGCTCCTCCCCCTAGGCCGGTGGCCAGTGATGAGTTCCTGGCAGTCTCCTAGGCCACCAGGAAACACTCTGACCAACTGCCACGCCCTCCTTTGCTCCAAAATGACAAGCTCTTTTCATCTGGGAGCAAAAGCTGAAGTCTCCACATTTGAACTAAATGAGTTTAGTGTAAAAGTAATGCAAGATTATCTCAGACAATTGTATTTAAATAGTATTTTTTTCTGGTGATAAATGTAATATATGTCTACCATGGTCATTTGGAAAATTCTGAGACATATATAGGAGAAAATAAATTCTCCATAACCCTAACCCACAAAAAATAACTGTTGAAATGCTCGTGTATTTTTAAATTCTTTTTTAATGCATATTATAGGACAACTTACTGAACAATTGGATTTTTAGAAATACTTTTAATAAAACTTGTGTTGTAGTACAGCATACAGGAAAGTGTACAAATAACAAATACATTTCAGTAAACTTTCAAAGATTAACACAAACATGTCCAGGCAACCATAACCCAGCTCAAGAAATTAACTAATAGTAGCATTTTTCATCCCCCTGTTAGTTTTGTCTATTCTGACATTTCACATGAAATGAATTACTTGGTAAATATTTTATAGTACTTGGTTTATTTCACTTTATATTATGTTTGAATTCATCCATGTCATTGCATGTAACAAGTCTTTTTTAAAATTTTATTCTAGGCTGTATGAAATTCAGTTATATGAGTATACACAATTTATTATTTTTGCTGTTATTTTTTCTTAATTACAGATGTATTGAGATATAATTCACATGCCATACAGTTCACTTATAGTGTGCAATTCAATGTGTACAATTCAATGCTTTCAGCGTATTCACAGATATATGCAACCATCACCACCGTTTTAGAAAATTTCCATCACCTGGAAACTTCATACCCTTTAGCAATTACTCCCACAACCCCAATTCCCTATCCTTTCTAGCCCCAAGCAACCACTAATTTTTCTGCTCTATAGATTTGCCTATTCTGGACATCTCACAAAAATTGCATCGTATGATATGCGGTCTTTTGTGACTTGTCCCTTATGCTGATACTGGACATTCAAGTTCTTTCCAGGTTTGGAGCTATTACAGATAATACTTCCATGAACATTATTCTGTGAATCGGTTCACATAGATACACATTTCTATTGGGATACATATCAAAGGTTTGCTCATAACCAGCTATAATTACAATGCCAAGCAGTTTTTTAAATTTACAGACCTGCCAGCATTATATGATGAGAGTTCTCATTGTTCCATGTCCTCTCCAACATTTGGGGTTTATATAGTATTAATTTACATTTCTCGGATGACTAAAGATAAAGAGCATCTTTCATATAATTATTGGCCACTCAGATATCCTCTTTAGTAAAGTGGCTTTTAGGCATTCACCCATTTTTCTATTGGCTAATCTTCTTCTACTTGATGTGTATATTCTAGATAAGTGCTGCAAACAAACACCTTTTCCTAATTAAAGGCTTGCATTTTAACTCTCTTATTTTTAGATTTTGATAAAGATAAATCTTTAATTTTTATTGAGGTCTAATTTATCACTTTTTGTTCATGGTTAGTGCTTTTGCTAACCTGTAAGAAATCATTGCCTACCCCAAGGTGACAAGGGCATTCTCTTACGTTACCATCTGGAACCTTAAGTTTTTTCTTGGAACACTTAGATGTGCTAACTACCTAAAATTAATTTTGGCATATGGTGTCAAGTGAGGACTATTTTTTTTTTCATGTAGCTATCCAACTGACCTAAGTTTTTCTTGGAAAAGAAAGTCCTTTCCCCACTGCTCTGCAACATCACCTTTGTCATAAATCAATAGAAATAGACCTCCAGATGTTGGAATCAGTAGAAAAGGAATTTCAAATATATTTATGGCTATTTTAAATTATTAAAGATTCTTACTAAGGGTAGATATGATAAATGAAGACAGGGAATTTCAAGATAAATACGACTAATAGAAGAAGAACAAAATGGAACCCCTAGAACTGAAAAATATAATAACTGAAATTATTTGATGGGATTATCAGTAGATTGGACACACACTAAGGAGAATCAGGAAACTTAAAGATAGGTCAATAGAGGGCCAGGCACAGTGGCTCATGCCTGTAATCCCAGCACTTTAGGAAGCCGAGGTGGACAAATCATTTGAGGTCAGAGGTCAGAAGTTTGAGACCAGCCTGGTCAACATGGTGAAACCCCGTCTCTACTAAAAATACAAAAATTAGTTGAATGTGGTGGTGCACACCTGTAATCCCATCTACTCGGGAGACTGAGGCAGGAAAATCGCTTGAACTGGGGAGATGGAGGCTGCAGTGAGCTGATATTGCGCCATTGCACTCCAGCCTGGGTGACAGAGTGAGACTCCATCTCAAAAAAAAAAAAAAAGTCAATAGAAATCATCCAAATTTAAAGGGCATTGAGAATAAAAAAGTTTATAATAAACAGAACATGGTGACTCATGAAATAATATAAAGACATCTAACTTACATGAAATTGGACTTTCAGAAGTCAAGGAGAGAAACTATCAGGCAGAAAAATACTTGAAAAAGTATTAGCAAAGGTTCCCCAAATTTGATCAAATATATGTATCCAGAATGTTTACTTGTTTAATGAGAAGTTGATCCCAGTAACCTATTTTGTCATTAATGGAGTTTAGAGGTTAGCATAAAAGGTTATAAAGTGTTACATCTCCATGAATGAGCAGCAGGGCATTTTAAAGTCACATCGAATGTGGAAAAAATACTTTGCCAGGTGGAAGGGTCCTAAGCATGGCTATTCTTTTAACATAAATGTTGCCTGCCCACTAACATTACCACCACCGCAATCATAGTAATGCCGAAATTCCTCACAGTTTTTCAAAATATCCTGTTGGTGCACAGTACGGACCTGCATCCACTGAGAACCCTTCTCTCCTGTGATCTGCCTCCTTGTCCCATACCTTTCTAACCTCATCTTCTAATGCTCTGTGTATCAAACCTCCCTGGCCTCCTTCCAGATCAGGGCTTTGGGGATTGCTTTTCCCTCTTCCAGAATGCTCCTGCCCCCAAATATTTATATAACTGACTCTTCTGCAGGTCTTTGTTCTAATGTCATTTTTCTCAGTGAGACCTACCAATGAAACGAACCAAAACAAAAAACTTACACATTCTCTCAGCATCTGGATTGGTTTGCGGGGCTGCCATGGCAAAGCACCACAGACCCAGTGGCTTAACCCTCTGAAAATTATTTTCTTAGCTCTGGAGACTAGACGTCCAAGAACAAGATGGCAGCAGGTTTGATTTCTCCTGTGGCCTCTCTCCTTGACTGGCCATTGGCTACCTTCTCTCTGTGTCCTCTCATGGTTTGTTCTCTGTGAGTGAGTGCCCTGGTGTCTCTCTGCATGCCCAAATTTTCTTTTATAAAGACAGCATTTAGATTAGATTAGGACCCATCCAAAGGGCCTCATTTTAACTTAACTGCCTCCTTAAAAACCTTATCTACGAATATAGTTACCTTATGAGGTACTAAGGGTTAGGCCTTCAACATATGAATTTTGGGGGTATATAATTCAGGCCATATACCATCTCTTGTTTATTTTCATCTGCATACCCCCCGCCTTTTTTTTTTAGATGGAGCATCGCTCTGTCACCCAGACTGGAGTGCAGTGATGCAATCTCAGCTCACTGCAACCTCCACCCTCCCGGGTTCAAGAAGTTCTCCTGCCTCAGCCTCCTGAGTAGCTGGGATTACAGGCGTGCACCATCATGCCTGGCTGTAGCCTTTTTTTTAAATTCAATGTATTGTAATGATTTACTTGGTTTATTGTCTTAACTTTCTGTTCCACTGGAATACAAGTTTAATTAAGAGAGGGTTTTAATCAATTTTGTTCTCTGAAGTGTCTTCAGAACCAAATGAGTAAAAAATTATCATTGTTAACGTTTTCACTTAGTGCTAGCATATGGACAACCTCAATTTATTTCTAATAACTCTCGCTATCTTTCAGAGGATTCCTTCATTCCTTCATGAATGAAGAAAGCCCTGATAGTGTTCCAGTAATTTATGTTTTTTATCTTAACAAAAAGAGTTATAGCACTAAAAGATCCAGCTTTTTTGTTTTACTTTTTTAAAAAATTTTTTATATTGTTAATAAAGACAGGGTCTCACCATGTTGCTCAGGCTGGTCTCGAACTCCTAGACTCAAGTGATCCACCCTCCGCAGCCTCCCAAAGTGCTGAGATTACAGGGGTGAGCCACCACACCCAGCCAAGATCCAGTTTTTTAACCAAGGAAAATAAGAAATTTAATATGCGTTCCAATATGCTTGGTTCCAAAGCAACAAATCTTTGCATGATTAAGTAGACTGAGGGCTCTTCCATATTAGACGAAAATATCCAGCCAAATTGCTGACGACTCCCTCAGACAGAAAAAAAAAAATGCTTAGAGTCATCCTCACAAAGATATTTGCCTGTTTAATTGTAACCTAATTACAACAACTTTTTTTTCTTTAGGTGGTCAGGCTCAGGATGGACCATGAGCTTTCAAAAAGGAAAAAGGTGGAAATCCTCAACTATGCTGCCATCTGAATAAGTGTTTCTTTGTAGCATGCACAGAGTCAAGGAAAATTACATCCCTGCATTATGTAATGTACCAACAACGCACTTACCCACTGTTTTAATCTAGGTTATTCTTGAAAGCAGAGCCTGAGACAAAGGTAGACACATTCTATTTATGAGTCTAACACCCAGGAGCAGGAATGAGAGGCAGGGGAGTGAACATGGGAAAAGGGAAAGTAAGTCCAAGCAAAACCAGATACTGCTGTTATCAAGTGGTCCACCCCTATTAATGGCTACGTAATGCAGAACTTTCTTAGGATTCTTCTTAAACTTTATCTCAGAACTGTCTGCCTTAGGGAGAATGGAGAAGTATTTCTCCATCAGCAGTCACCTCCTGTTTGTTGAGGGCTGCTCCTTTGGGGCATTAACTCACCGCCCCCACCACCCCATCCCTCTGGGCTGCAAAGAGCTGAGAGCCCACATGGTACCTCAGCATCGCACATTGCTACATCAGAGAGGTCTTAAGACACGAAACTAGAGTCTTGGTGCATGCTCGAAGTGAGACAGTGTCAGCACAGAGCAGTGTAATATCTTCCATAACTGTTCAACAGAGCCATGACTGGACTCAGAGGTTGAAAAGATATGGGACCGTACACAAGAAGCATCTTGTAAGCCTACATAACATAGTGTTAGACTCATCGAAATCTGTTTCGTTCCTTCTTTATAATCAAAACTTCAGTGTCCAGAATAAGGTTGGCAGAAGGGTTAAATAGGAAAGTTAAATGCATGAGAAGGTGTATATTTATAAGTTTTAACCTTGAGTCATGTTCAAGGAGAAAGTGACATTGGAACTCGGAAAATTAAAAAATGATTCTACTTGAAAAATTTGACCATTGCATAGAGATATTAGCTATTGTCTAATCTTTTGTAATCTCAGAAACAATCGTGAGTTGTTTGTTGAAAAATGAAAAAATAAAATTAACCATTTCTTATGTCTCCGTGAGCTTTATAGATCAATGTCACTAACTTTTCCTAAGATAATTGTTTCCTACTGTCAAATAGCTCTAGTGATTACAATCAATGAAGGGAAAACTGATAGAAACATAGGTAGAAAAATACTGGGATAATTTTCATCGTATAAAGTGTTAGCATTAACATTGGTTAGAATAGAGGAGAAACTGCATGACTCGACTGGACATTCCTGTATGTTGTATGAGGCCCTATCTTAACAGAAATAGTGATGTCATCATCATCCTCTCTTATTTGGTCTTGAATTACCACGAATAGGATAAAACCTTTGAATTATGTAACTCAATATCTGTTAAGTTTCTACTATGTGCGATGTATTGGTACTATAAATATGAATAAGACATAAAATATTACATTCAAAAACATCAGAATACATGTTCTTTTAAGGTGTACCCCAAAACATTTACCACATGTTCTGGGGTGCATGTTACGCTGTATCACAAATCAAGTCTTAAGACATTTCAAAAGATTGAAATCATATAGAGTATGAATTAAACCAGAAATCAAGTACATAAAGGTAACAAAAAATTTCCTAAATGCATTCATTTAAGGAACATACATCTCATGACCCAGGAGTCACAAAATAAATCACAGCAAAATTGCGAAAATATTTTGAAATGAATTTTAATGAAAATACAGCGTATTAAAGCTCTAAGTACTTATGTTAGAAATTTTACAGAAAGGTTGGCTATCAGTGTTTCCAGAAGCCGGGGGAAAAGTTTAGACAACTTGATTGCTGAGGAAGGGAAACAAAGTGAGACCTCTGATCACCCTGCCTTTCCGAGGCGAGCACTCTGGATCCCGTCGTAGGAGACCAGAGTCTTGCTGAGTTGAGGAGAGGAAGATTGGAGTTGAGACTGAGATAGTTTGAATTTTTAGGACAAAGTATCAACAAGGAAGAAGGTAGACAAAAAAATCCAGAAATCTACGTAGAGGCTCCACTGTGTACCTAGCGGAACACTACGCCTAACGAGTCTCAAAATTAGCGTGTGATTGGGAAATATCTAATTTCCGTCCAGCCACAGTGGAGAGTCCTGACTGAAAACCAGGCATTCACTAAAGATCCCAGAAAGGTTACATATTACATGAGTAGGGCTAAAGTATCCTGACTAAAAACTGTACTACATTTGCTCCCCACCCGCACAAAAAGCTTAAAAACAAGCCTCAATAGTATAAAGCTGAACTGTAAATAACTAAACTACCTGCCAGAACAAAGTCCAAATTTATTAGTTCCAGTCCTCCAAAGTAACACATGGAAAGACAGGATTCAATTTACAAGACATTTATCTGGGGGGGAGAAAATGGCTAAGGGTTTAAAGAGAGAGGAAGTCAGAGAGACAGAGTCCTCAGAATACATAAAATTTCTGGCCTCCATGGAGGTGTGATGGTTAATTTTATGGGTGTCAACTTCACTGGGCCACAGGATGCCTCATATCTGATCGAACATTATTTCTGGTTGTGTTCATGAAGCATTTTCTGGAAGAAATTCACATTTGAATTGATGGACTGAATAAAGCAGATTGCAGTCCCCAGTGTGGATGGGCTTGATCCAGTCTTCTAAGGACCCAAATAAAATAGGTGGAGGAAGGTTGAATTTTCTGCCTGACTGTGGCACTGGGACACCCATCTTCTCCTGCCCTTGACCTGGGACTGACACCTCAATGCTCCTGGTTCTCAGACCTTCGGACAGCAGATTGGGGGCCTTCTCAGCCTCCATTATTGTGTGAGCCAATTCCTTATAATAAATAAGGATTTATATTTAATTCCTTATAATTAAATAAGGATAAATCCGTATAGATTGATTATAAATCCTTATAGATTGACTGATAGATCCATAGGACTTATTGATTCTGTTTCTCTGGAGAGCCCTGACTAATACAGAAGCAGAGAGGGAAGAAAGGATGGTTGAGCAGCAAAAAGCTTAGACTGTAGCACAGTTCTGATAAAGTTTGCGGTCAGATGAAGAACACTCAAACCAAAGTTGCCCATTGGAGGAGCCTCCCACCTCACAGGAATAGGCCTGCATTATTAGTATACCTTCCTCATTCATTCATTGTTGTTCTTATGGAAACAACTCATGGGAAATGTAGCCTTGGCATGACTGTATCAATGGATACGGAGAGGAGTAGCGGGGACACCCCCCAGTCAATTATGTTCCACAGCAAAAGATCTCAGTGGTGCATTTCCACGCTGGCTCAGTCCACCCCTTGGGCTGCACAGCTCTATTCAGGCCTAGCTGCCAGGAAGAGTATTAGGTGTCATTGTCAACTCAGGCTGTGTGCCCAGTAAACCTGGAAGTGTCTGGATATTCTTGCTTGCCAGCATATAGTCATAAATCTATTTGGGGAAGAACTTGCCATTTCATCAAAGTATATACCTGTATAGCAGGGTTCTTCCTCCTAGTGACCTGTGACCTAGTAACCCAGCCACTTACGGGTTCTTCCATCTGTGGGTTCCTTACGTGAAAAGTGCTTCAGGTCTGGGAACTGAGAAAGGGATGTGTCATTGGAGTGCGGTTCCATTCGTGCCTTATTTGGTTATAGGCGTTAAGCAGCATTCTTGTTATGTGCCCATCTATTTTGCCTGTAGGGGTGTTACTTTCAATTAATTATCTCCTAAACACCCTGTGAATCAAACCCCCTTAACTACCCCTCCAATTTCACCAGTTGTTATAGTAATTATGGCCTCTTGACTTTTGGTAATTAAGCACTAGTCCTCCAGGGCCCTCTATCATTTGAGGGCCCATCACCCCTGAATCATTAACAATCCCAGCTCTCTGACCACCTCATTTACCATCAGCCCTGGTCTAAAGAGTAAAGCCACTACTGTACTTAGTGATACTGGTAACCTCTCACAGGCTCATTCTTGGCGGCCTTAGTGAATTGTCACTATTTTATGACATGTTCATCACAGTATATCCATCACATATTCATTCATCTGACCCCTATGAAGGTGTGATGGTTCATTTCATCACAGTACATACATGCCATTGTATAGCAGGTCCTTAACTAATATAGCAACACCAAAGTTTTCAGGCAGAACTGATAGACCCTGTTGAAGGGCAGGCAAGCCCAGAGCAAACCATCTATATGCAGTTCTTTTAACAGCCTGCAAGGCACTGTTAAGATTAGGGAGACATTTATCAAATTACGTTCTGTGGAAAACTAGTTCCATAGGATATGAACTGATGTCAGGAGAAAAATTAAATTAGAAAGTTCGTTCAGTGCCAGATTCTCAAAGCCATTCGTATGTGAATGTTTAGTGCAGCTCTCCAAAAGAGATGATTTGCTGTGTTCCATGTGGCAGTAGTATGATGTGCAACCCAGATCCCCCTTCAAAGAACGGCTTGCACCCCACTTGCTGGGTGTAATGTTAGCAGGCAGCCTGCAGCTGACAGCCCTCTTCAGGAATTGGCATAGCTGTAGAGAACCACTTCACCTAAGGTCACACTTTTTTGTGGAGTGGCCCATAGCCAAGGATTAATCAGTGTGGAGATACAGAGTTGTTCTCTTGCCCATCTCAGGACATCTCTGAGGGCCATTTTAACTCCAGAGCTCCCTGTGGGGTTGGCCAAGGCTGTCGTTGGACCTGCATTATAACTCATCTTCTCCCTCCACCCAATTCCACTTCTCTCTCTCTCTCTCTCTTTTAACAAACGTTTGGCAAAAGGCACTTCTTAATATCCTACAATTAAAGTATATCTCAGAATCTGCATCCTGGAGAATGCTGTCTGAGACACCCCACTTTCTAATTTTCTTTGCCCATCAAAGCTCACCCCCAACTTTTTTTTTATTTTATTTTATTTATTTATTTATTTATTTATTGATGGGGTCTTCTTCTGTTGCCTGGAATGGAGTGCAGTGGCGTGATCTCGGCCCACTGCAGCCTCTGCTTCCCAGGCTCAAGCAATTATCCTGCCTCAGCCTCCCAAGTAGCTGGGATTACAGGTACCTGCCACCACACCCATCTAACTTTTTGTATTTTTGGTACAGATGGGGTTTCACCATGTTAGTGAGGCTAGTCTCAAATTCCTGACCTCAAGTGATCCGCCCACCTTGGCCTCCCAAAGTGCTGGGATTACAGGTGTGAGCCACCGTGCCTGGCCTAAAGCCCTTTTTGCATAGAGTACCTAACAAGTGTAGGCCTTAAGAAATACATTCTGGATGCTGGTAAGTGCAAGTGTGAGAACTAAGTACCTGTGTGGAAAGTAAGGGGAGGGGTACCCAAGACTTAAATCTCAGCTTATGAATTCCTTTGAGATTTGAAACTAGCTTAATTTTGATATGTAACCCTAATGCTTAAAGTACTACAGGATCTACTATCTATGGAGGTGCTATGGAGAGGATCTAAATATTATATGACCTGTGCAAATAAATTTTCTTTTTCTGTAACAGGGTTTAAAACTTTAAGATAATCCGTGGTTGTTAGGTAAAATGCACTCATGTCTATCTGACAGATACAAATATTTTGCATTCTAGCTGCTTTTAGATATTTAACAGGAGAGGAAAAGAGGAAATACGATTAAAGCCTTTGAAAGTCCATTTCCAAGAAATAAAAACTGCAGTAGGAATTCTACAAAACTGAAAAATCTTCAGGACTGGAAGAACTATCCAGAAAAGCCCAGTGGATTATAATAACTTATTAAAATATGTGTTTGGCAACCCACTGACTAATACCACTTTAAGATATGAATGCATTACCAAAAAAATGGAGTAGTTTTTACAAGTCTTTGAAATAATCATATTTGTATTTTGACACTAATTTGAAATAAGGAGCTGGCTTGAAATACTAAACCTAAGTGATCAGAGACAATGAGCTATCAGACTACAAGATCAGCATAGAGCAATTTCCAAATAAGATGAGATGCATGCAGCCTCTACAAATTTGGCTTGGGGAGGAGTTTACTTCGCTTGCTTGAATAAGCCACTGTCTATGGCTCACAAGGGTCCCGTTCTTAATGAGGTGGTGCGTAGCAGCAACACACTGTGAATCCAAATAGCAGATGGCAACACTGTTGAGTAGGCTGGCAGTCTGATGTCTAGCCACCAACTGGCAGCAATCATTATTAAACTGATTCATGTGCCCAGGGAAAATCTTCATAACAGTCTTAGCAAATGTGAGCAGCAAGAAGCAAATGATTTGCTATTCCTATCTGCTATGAGTACTACCTATATTTCTTAAAATATTATTCCCCAGTGCAACCTTACTCAAAGAAATGGCATGATATGTGCACTGGAGGCCCTATTCCTTTCTTATAGATGCATGTATACCTTTAAACACGATAGCTGTGATTTCTCTATTTGGTGAATAGCTTTTCCTTGATGGAATAGCTTCATAGCATCCACCCTATGGATTTGTCGCACATATTCAATGATAGGCAAGCACTCATAGATTCTGTAAATAAATAGCTGAACATATTCTATCTCACATAATGAAGCAATGGCCTACATTGCTCATGGTCCATCTACATGAGACAGGTAACTCATCCGAGTGTGAAAAGTTTGTTATACTCACACTTGGTTAGGAAAGCAGTCTAAGAAAGGCTCTAGCTTCAGAAAACTTATGTAAGGTTATTTCTACAAGAAAATCTTAAAGGTATCCATTTAAAAGTTCTGTCTTTATGCTGGGTGCAGTGGCTCATGCCTGTAATCTCAGCACTTTGGGAGGCTGAGGCAGGCAGATCACAAGGTTAGCAGTTTGAGACTAGCCCAGCCAACATGGTGAAACCCCATCTCTACTAAAAATACAAAAAATTAGCCGGACGTGGTGGCACGCACCTGTAATCTCTGCTACACAGGAGGCCTAGGCAGGAGAATAGCTTGAACCCAGGAGGCGGAGGTTTCAGTGGGCAGAGATGACACCATTGTACTCCAGCCTGGGCAACAGAGCAAGACACTGTCTCAAAATAAATAAATAAATAAATAAATAAATAAATAAATGAATAAATAAATAAATAAATATTCTGTCTTTACAAACCAAAATGCTAAACAAATAGCATTTTTTTCAAATGTTGAAAGTATGTGGTGTTTGTAACCAATAAAGCCAATTTCCACAACTTTATATATTAATAAAGAAGCCTTGAGGTAATTTTTTTTTGAAAAACAAAACCCTGCTTATTCACTTACACAATACTTACAGTTAAATTAAAAAACAAAATCCTAGCCATTCTCTAAATCTTCATTACATTTTTAAAAATTAAGATACTAGAATTCTTTTACATGCTCATAATAACATGGGGAAAGCACTACAGTTAAATGTCACGTTACAATCACACATTTTATTTAATATTCCATTTATGGTAATTTTTTAATAGAAGCAAAATTTCAAATCTTTTTTAAGAAGTAATAAAATCACTCTGAATGGATTCTTTTTGGTTTTTTTCAATTTGACAAATCAATCCAGGCTGATATATCATTTATAACTTCTACAGTGAGTGCCCCTGCCCTTGTGTCAAATATGAGAGTGATTATCATCCAAAGTTGGATACCCCGGCCCTGGCAGCGAAGCTCGAAAGCAAGCTTGCACGCCGTCTCTCAAGTCCCTCAGCATTCTCCCCAAACAAGAAATCAAATGCCAGAGCTTGTACACTTAATACTTGAGACCAAAAAAAAAAACTCCAAAGGAGAGATTTACTCAAATGTGCTTGTCTCCCAGTTACTTTGTAAGAAATAAATCCGTATCAGAAGAAAAGATGTCCATGTCTTGTTCTGCATGAGAAATAAGTGCCATGTACTAAAAGAAGCCTAAAATGGTGGCACGAGTTTCTTAAAATGGCTGAAATCTCTCAAAATACTGAACATCTCATCAGACCATCAAGAGTTACGTTTTTATCACACATTATAAAATTCTAGGTATCCCAGTCTGGGCAATATGGAAAACCTCGTCTCTACAAAAAATGAAAAAAATTCAGGTGTAGTGGCGCGTGCCTATAGTCCCAGCTACTTGGTAGGCTGAGGCAGAGGTTACAGTGAGTCTTGATTTTGCCACTGCACTTCAGCCTGGATGATACAGCGAGACTCTGTCTCAAAAAAAAAAATTCTAGATATTTGAAAAATAAGATAGGGTGATGAATGTTTATCACCGGATATTAGGGCGTACTCAATGGTAAGTATAAAGGCAAACCAGCAATGGATAGGCTAGTTCAAAAGATGTATTATATTTCCAGATATTATGATAACAGTGATAAAGACTTGATGGTGAATAGGTACTTGGATAGCAGTACTGCAGAGGGTCAATTTGAGTAAGTCACCTGCACTACCCAAAGATGAATATTCTTTTTGAGAACAAAAGAATTCTAGTGATCATGGGGTAAGGATGCTGGAAATTCATTCCTGAAAATTTATATGTACCAAGTAGTTGTTTTCTGTTCTCCCATTCTTCACTAAAACTGTCCTTATCAAGAACACCACTGATGTCCATCTTGTACAAATCAGTTTCATTCTCAGACTCTCACTTACTCTAATTCTCAGAGGCATTTAATGCAATTGATCACTACCATCATCTGGAAACACTTTCTTGGCTTGGTTACTAGAACAACAGTACATGCCTGGTTTTCCTTCTTCCTTACTGGAAGTTCATTGTCCATCTCCTATTTAGCTCCTTATCAAAATCCTGACCTTTGACATTTGAGTGTTCTTAAATACACTGTGTAGATTCTGATATCTGAATGAACTAGATACTCTGCTATGTACACTCTAATGAGGACAGGGACTATGTGTGTCTGGTTCACTGCACAATGTCTAATACATGGTGGACATTCAAATATTTGTTGGAGGAATGAACGAATACTAGAACAACATATGCAGTTTGAATAGATGAGTGTAAGTATAATGAGGATGATCTGGATATTAAATAGTCCCTAACATTATTTCATTGAGGTAGGTTTTAAATATTAGAATCCTGACCTTTTTAGAGCATGAAATTGAGATGTAGACAGGTCAAGTAACTTGCCCAAGAACACACAACTACAAAGTGTCAGAGCTGGGACGTCTCCTGCTGTGCTAGTCCAAGGTCATGCTCTTGACTCAGTGCTATACTTATTGATAAATACAAGAGAAAAATGAGGAATAGGAACCCGAGTCCAGCTTACGTTTCTCCTGGTCCTCTGCTACAACTGAGGCTGATGTTTTCTGATGGTAGCAGGACTACAAATACTAGTTGTTTTTTGTTTTTGTTATGTTTTGTTTTACATTCAGAAAGAACAGGATTGTGTTCTCATCTGTAAAATAGAAATGAAAATGCTACCAATCTACCTTCTTTTGATGGTAATTTAAGGCTAAAATAAGATAATCAATATGCCACATTTAAGTCACAATACCAAAATCATGGGGGATCTTCATGTATTAATTATTACTACTGGGAGGTACTAAAAGAAGATCTGAAGTGGAGAGAAAAAATTTCCTTACTGATTAGAGAAGCAGGAAGAAGGCAGTCAAGAAGGAGCTAGAACATTCCTTACTGACCTAACTCAGGAAAATCAAAAAGGCAATATTCCGTGGTTCCCCTGTAACAGATAACGAGCACCCACTACATAATTAAAGAATTAAAAGTTCGTTGACTTAGCCATACTACATCTTCTTTTAAAACAAAAATCATGAAGACAAAAATCTGCTGATGCTGTGAAATAAAACTGGTGATTCTGCAGTCAATTTGTTTTGTACCTGTGTGGTTTTACCTTCCACTGACCCACCGAGACATTACAATTAGTGTATCCTAGGGATGATTGGAGATAAAGTAGGCAGAGGAAATTAGGTTAATGAGGAAGCATAGAGAAAGGCAATCCTGGGACCTCCTGTTCTTCAGAATATACAGGTCTTTAAACTGTAATCAGGTAGCACAGTTAGGAATATTCTCAAAATTCACTTTCACCACTGGATTCCAGCTTGTAATATTCAATTGCTATAGAAAATTATGATCAGAATGGACTTAAATTCTGAAACTTCACTTAGAAATTTTATTCAGGGTATCTTCTTCCTTTGTTGGCAGTATAGCCATCACATCTCCATTAGGGAGAGATACCCAGGTTTCTCGGTCACACTTCTCCACTGTGAGTGTCACACAAGACATTTCACTCAGTTAACAAAAATATTTCCTAAATGAAAGGATGCAGATGGCTGACTGGGTTGAGCTTTGGAGTCACTCAGATCAATATTTAAATCTCAGTTCAGGTACTTAGCAAATAAAAGACAGCCCCAGCCTCAATATGCTCATTATTTAGATGGATAGAGTCCTCACAAGGTAGTTTTAAAGATCCCATGATCATTTACTTAAAGTAATTAGATTGCTGGCACAGTCAGTTTTTAATAAAGCATGGCCGCTATTATCAAAGTTGCTAATCATTGAAATGGCAATATCAAAATTGGCTGTAATTTCATTTTCACTGGTTTTTGATTGTTTGTAAAAAGAGAGATCTATATTTGTGTTTAGAGATAACCTATTCTAGAGATTTAGGAACCTATCCAACAACCACTTTGTCTTTTGCGCTGCTATAGCAGAATGACTGAGACTGGGTAATTTATAATGCACAGAAATGTATTGGCTCACAATCCTGGAGGATGGGAAGTCCAAGGTCAAGATGCCAGCATTTGGCAAGGACCTTCTTGCTGCATCCACAAGTGTGGAAGAAGAGGGTGCAAGAAGGGGCTGAACTTGCCCTTTTATGATGATACTGATCCCACCCATGATCCGAGAACCCTCGTGACCTAACCCTTACAGGTCAACGGTACTTACATTTTAACATGAGTTTTCAAACCATAAAACACCTCCAAGGTGGTTTTTAACTTTAATTATTAATTAATGGGTCCAAGGAACAATTGCTAAGCATTTACTATGTGCTAAGATGAATGAATGATTCATGCTTTTCTTCATTTCAAAATCTCCCCATTGCTTTAGTCTCTGGAGATCAGCCCTCATGGTGCATATAATTGAGTGATGGGTAGCAAGGCCATATGAAGTTGAAGAGACATGAATAAGAAATGTGACGTGGTTCATGATGACTGAAGGGAAGAATAGCTGCTAATAAATTTGCAGTCAGATCATGGGAGGCTTTAAACGATGAGGTAAAATATTTGGACTTCATTCAACCCTTTTGGAGAGAAATGTCAAAAACATTAACCCCATATTGAAGTTAAAAACAAAGCTAGAAGTCTTGTTGTAGATAACAAACTGACTCAAGGAACACACATATTGTTAAGACTGGAAGAATGACATTTTAAGTTCTTTCTAGTAGTGTTTGAAATATATTAGAAGGAAGGAAATCTGGAACTAGGGACATAAAAGGTAGGAAGCTATTTCAATAGCTCAAGAGTGAGGTAATAAGAGGCTAAACCAAGGCAGAAAAAAGACACATGAGATATGCTGGGTGGTGCTCCACAACTCTTCATAACTTTGGGCTAACTCCTTTAAAGCCAGGGGATTTGGTGAAATAAAAAAATGGAAATCCACATCTGTCTCAACATTTGTACTTTCAGAGGTATAAATGTTTCCGTTTTAAAATTATACATGAAACAAATAAGTTAATCTGGCATACTGTCATGCTAGCCAAAAATGTGTGTGAGCAGTTTCGTAAACTGTGCCTTCTTTTCCATTCTAGCATTATTCTGTCTGTCTTTCTCCATGTTGCCCTTGTCTTTCTCAAGGATTTTCAGTTAACTCCTACCTTAAAATTTAGATCAGCTGGCAAGTATGAAATCCCTGTCATAGCTGCAACCAGCAAGACATATTCTTCTGACTTTGAATCTGGCCCATTTTTGTGTGATGACACTTTCCTAAAGAGAATAATATTATATCTGTGAGAAAAAGTCCTATGTGTGACTTTTCATTATAAAAATATCCACTGAGTACATAACATTACTCAAGAAAACAAGAAAGTGTACAGAACAAGGAAACAACTAAAAGGGCAGCAAGACAAGACAAATGTTTCCTAGTCAAAACATGAGAATACATTTTGTTATCTGCAAAATGTAGAAAGGTTATCCCGAGAGATATCTAAGGTTAAAAAATACTATGAGAGATACACTCACACACAATTATAGATAAATATACTAATAGAGACATATAAATACCAAATTCATCATATTCACACTTCCCCAGTGGCTGCTCACATGTTTCCCAACCAACTCCACTCTATTATTCATTGGGTTATGAAAATCAGAGACCTGGGAAGAACACTTAACTTGTCTCTTCCCTTAATCTCCCATACCTAATTACTAAAAATCTTCTAGTTATATTCTACTAACTAAATTTCCCTTGCCCTTACCTAATTCCTTTGCCCTTACCTAATTTGTATAGGATAAAGTACAAACTCTTTAGTATGGCATAAAGGTCCATTAGATACAGCCACATTACAACCTTATTTCCTATCCTTCCCCGTTATATACACATGTACTTGCTGTTCCCTCTGCTTGGAATGATTCCAAGAAGGAGCAAGGATCATTTCCTCTGAGAACCCTACAATGCTCCCTGCAGCCCAAGCCTACTTTCTTAAAGCACTTACTACTTATCCTCAATATTTTGTATAACTTACCTGCCTCTACCATTAGACTTAATGAAATTCTTGAAGTTAGAGATGCTGCTGCATCTATCACAATGAGAATCATCTGAAGCACACACAAACACACACCATTTATTATCACTATTAACATCACTTTGCGATTCAACTACCGTCATTAGCATCTCTACTATTTCAAGAGACTTCTGCCCAGGAAGATTACCTTACAAGTGATAATACAGTATTGTTCATCCCTGGACCTTCTCTGAAATCCATCAATTCTTCACTAGAAAATATTAACCAGCAGTTTACACCCTGAGATTCTTTACATAATGAATGTAGACGAAATAAATGCATTTAAATGTATTACAATTATAGTAATGTAATAGGGAATGGAGAAGACTTACTAATGAATAAAATGTACAAATTAAAGTACATTTTACTCTCTTTCTCTATAGTGTCTGACAATTATTCCCACTACTCAAAGCAAAGAGAATACCAAGACAATGAGAAGGAGAAAATCTTCACAATTTTCTGAGCTCTGTAAAGAAATGCTTTTCATGTAAATCTTTGATCAAAACAAAGGCATGGTCAAAAATATCCTTAAACAGTCAATTCCTACACAGTGCTTGAGTCTATGCAACTATTAGGGACGTGGAAATTGATTGATGGTGATTTTTAATATACCAAAAATTTTTAGAACAAAAAATAATCACACATATGCCGATCTGCTTAAAATACAACACATGTTAGTATTTACTGGGCTTTCATTCATCTCACCTCCTTTTCTTCTTTTCCTCAATTCATTTTACATAATCTCTCACCCTTTGCTTACTTCTAATAATCTTTCTCTCTGCCCTGCTGCAAGCGTGAACTACCATCAGAAAAATTGCCTATGCTAATATCCAGAATCTACAAGGACTTAAACTAATTTACAAGAAAAAATCAAACAACCCCATCAAAAAGTGGGCTAAGGAAATGAACAGACACTTCTCAAAAGAAGACATTTATACAGCCAACAGACACATGAAAAAATGCTCATCATCACCAGCCATCAGAGAAATGCAAATCAAAACCACAATGAGATATCATCTCACACCAGTTAGAATGGTGATCATTAAGAGGTCAGGAAACAACAGGTGCTGGAGAGGATGTGGAGAAATAGGAACACTTTTACACTGTTAGTGGGATTGTAAACTAATTCAACCATTGTGGAAGACAGTGTGGCGACTCCTCAAGGATCTAGAACTAGAAATACCATTTGACCCAGCCATCCCATTACTAGGTATATACCCAAAGGATTATAAATCATGCTGCTATAAAGACACATGGACATGTATGTTTATCGCGGCACTATTCACCATAGCAAAGACTTGGAACCAACCCAAATGTCCATCAATGATAGACTGGATTAAGAGAATGTGGCACATATACACCATGGAATACCATGCAGCCATAAAAAAGGATAAGCTCATGTCCTTTGTAGGGACATGGATGTAGCTGGAAACCATCATTCTGAGCAAACTATTGCAAGGACAGAAAACCAAACACCGCATATTCTCACTCATAGGTGGGACTTGAACAATAAGAACACTTGGACACAGGGTGGGGAACATCACACACTGGGGCCTGTTGTGGGGTGGCGGGAAGTGGGGAGGGATAGCATTAGGAGATATACCTAATGTAAAGGACGATTTAATGGGTGCAGCACACCAACATGGCGCATGTATACATATGTAACAAACCTGCACCTTTTGCACATGTACCCTAGAACTTTAAGTATAATAATAATAATTTTAAAAAGAAAGAAAGAAAAATAGCCTATGAATTCAGCTTTCCCATTGGTTAGTCTCTATAACCTTTTTGCTTTAACTGAAACTTGGCAGTGCCCTGAGAACACAACTTACCCTTGATCTTTCTCTCATACTCTATCTTGATTGATTCCAGCGCTAGAGAGAAAAAATGCACAAGATGAGCTTGGAATATCTTGTCATACACATAATAAAGAAGATAGTGAAGACACCCAAGGACATATTAGAAGGAGCCAGGAGCTAACTTAGAGAGGCTTTCAGTGGTCAAAGATAGGAATATTTTAGCATCATTAAGAATAACACTACGATGGCCAGGCGTGGTGGCTCATTCCTATAATCCCAGCATTTTAGGAGGCTGAGACAAGAGGATTACTGGAGCCTAGGAATTTGAGACTAGCCTGGGCAACATGGTGAAACCTCATCTTTATAAAAAATAAAAAAACTAGCTGGGCATGGTGGTGCACACCTATAGTCCCAGCTACTCAGGAGGCTGAGGCAGGAGGACCGCTTGAGTCCAGGAGGTTGAGTCCACAGTGAGAAGTGACTGTGACACTGCACTCTGGCCTGGGTGATGGAGCAAGACCCTGTTTCAAAAATAAATAAATAAAAAGAATCATACCTACAACGGATTAAAGCACAACAAATATGTTTAAGTATGTGAGTTCCTAACTATACTAAAAATTACTGGGGGGTGGTAGGGAATCATCTTATTATTTTGAAAACATGATTTTGAAACAATCGTGTATTTACATGAACTGTAACACTGTTCTATTAAATAGGAGATGAAGGAAAATTTCTGTTTGTAAAAATGTTCTAAGGGATTTCCAATCTCAGCCATGCATGATAAAGTAGCTGGTATTGAACTAACCCTTCTGCCAAAAGCAACTATAAAAGCTGGTTGACATATACAAATCAACTGTTTGAAGGCATTGGCAAACAAACAGTACAAGCCGGACTTTCTCAGTCCCCGAAAGAAGGAAAGCACATATGGTGAGGTCTATATTCATGCTATGACTTTTTTTCTGAGAGCATTTTTCAAATCATGACGAAGGGGAATACAGCTCAAACCGAAAGTAACAGTCTTACGGGACTGAGGGGAGAGAGGTCTGAGTTCAGAGCGGCCAATGTGGCTTGGAATTGAGTCTCAAACTTTCAAATAATAAATAAATTGAGAGAAGGATACAAAACTCTTCATTCAAATTCCTCAAGTCATGTTAGCAATGCTAGCACAAATAGTGACAGGTGGGCAAATGGAGTTAAATTGTTGAGCATTCTTATATTTGACAGTAACTGGTGAAATTACTAATTTAAGACTGCAATAAGATATGGATGAATATATTACAATTATATGGAAAGCACTAAAAGAATTTTCTGAAATGTGTAACTAAAAAACTGATAGAGGGAATGTGGAAGAATAAATGACACTGATTAATCCAAAATAATTCAAGAAAGGAAAAGTAAAATATCAAGGACAGATAGGACATATAGAAAACAAATAGCAAGTTGGTAGACTTAAATCCAACTATATTAGTAGTTATATGAGATATAAATGGACCAAAGGCTTCAATTAAAAGACAGACTGTCATACTAAATTACAAAACAAAACAAAAAAACGAACAATCACCAGCCTGGGCAACATAGCAAAACTTCGTCTCTACAAAAAATATATTAAAATTAGCTGGACATGGCGGCATGCACCTGTAGTCCCAGCTTCTTGGTGGGGCTGAGGTGTGAGGATCATTTGCACCCAGGAGGTCAAGGCTGCAGTGAGCTGTGTTCACACCACTGTACTCCAACCCGGGTGACAAAGTGAGACCCTGTCTAAAAAAAAAAAAAAAAAAAATCCACTATATGCTGTTTACAAGAGACATGCTTTAAATACAAGGGCACAGAAAATTTGAAAGTAAAAACATATACCATGGAATAGTATGGAAAATATATATACCATGCAGAAACTAAACAGGAGGAAGCTAGCATAATTTTATTAATACCAAGTAAAGCAGACTTTAAGATAAGTGTATTAGTCCAATCTCAGCCTGCTATAAAGAACTGCCCAAGACTGGGTAAGTGTAAAGGAAAGAGGTTTAATTGACTCCCAGTTCTGCATGGCTGGGAAGGCCTCAGGAAACTTACAATCATGGCAGAAGGGGAAGTAAACATGTCCTTTTTCACATAGTGGCTGGAGAGAGAAGCAGGGAAAATCCCCTTATAAAACTATCAGATCTCATAAGAACTCACTTGTTATCATGAGTACAGCATGGGAGAACCGCCCCCATGATCTAATCACCTCCCACAAATTCCCTCCCCCAACACATGGGGATTATAATTCAGATTACATTTCAAGATGAGATTTTGGGTGGGTGCACAGTCAAATCATATCAATAAGTGTTACTGGAAATAGTCAAAATGATAAATAGGAAAATAAAACATTCCTAAATTTGTATCACCTAATACAGTATATAAAGACAAGTGACAAATCCACAATCATACTTGGAAATGTTACAATCACTGACAGAACAAGCAGACAGAAAATTCAAAAAATCAGTAAGAATATAGAAAATTTGAACAATATAATCAACCGTCTTAACCTAATTGACATATAGACAACACTATAGCCAACAACTGCAAAGTGCACATTTTTTCCAAGTGCACTTAGACATTTACCAAAATAAACCAAAGCAAATCTAAACAAATTGCAAAGAATTGAGTATGTTCTCATAGAGTATGTTCTCTGACCAGAGTGGGATTAGACTAAAGGATGGGGACATAAAGATACTAGAAAAATTCCTAAATGTTTGGAAATTAGCAATATACTTTTAAATAATCTATTAAAAAGAGGGGGGGAAATGCAATGGAAGTCACAAAAACAGTGCCAGTTCTTACAAATCACTTTTACAAGTTGATATGCTTTTGAATTATCCATTTCATAAAACAGATTTTGGAAAGCTTCAGAGGAAGCTTACGGTCTTACTCCATTTCTCTAACCTTTATTTTTTCCAATTATAATTCCAGCAATTACTAAACTTATGTTTTTAAAGAACTGTGAAGGGTCTATCTGATATTTTTTCTACTTGCTACCTAAGAAGTTAGCCTATCACAATTTTAAGGATGCTAGAAGAAGGCTCAAGACTCCTGGGTCAGAGCTAAAGAAATTTATTTCTTACAACACAGCAAGCAGCATGAGCTTCAAGTTTTTCATTGGTTTCCATGTCTTCCAAATCTCGTGGAAGTGATATGGTGCATCTCAGATGGATGCAGCTCACTAGGGTGACCACCTCCCCCGTTTACCTAAGACCAAAGGGTTTCCTAATATTCAAGATTTACTGTACTGTAAGCAGGAAAGTCTCAGGCAAACTCTGACAAGTTGGTCAACCTGTACACACAAGACTTATATAAAAGCTGAGATTCCCTGAGCTTAGGAGATAGCAAACTTTTAAAGGGACTGCCAGTAACTTGCCCATCCTTTGCCCTGGAAAGAGACATTATCTTTATTATCGTAAATAGCAAGCAAATCTGTCCTTTGCCTTGGAGGGAGACATTATCTTTATCTTCCAAAACTGTTTCCATGCAAACACACTTGAAAAGACATTTCAGAATAAAAGCTGTCAATGTATCTGCTCTGAAGATGTACAGAAATGCA